GACCCGGTGGCTTAAAACTCACACCGGGCGCGTGTGCGTGCATGCCCAAGATCCCGAGAGGAGAATGGAGGAGAAGGGATTGCGGCATGACCATCCCCCCTGGGGGATGATTTCTCGCTTTCTATCTCTCTGTCTCTCTCTGTCTGTCTGGCGAACGCACACGCCCTAAAGCGAAAATCTCTCCAAAAAAAAAAAAAAAAGAAACCTTTCCCTTAAGGAATCTAAAAGACAATCACAACCTGAGGTGGGGGTGGGGGGAGGGTAAGAGGATCACAAAGGGAACCAGGCTAGAGACAGTCACAGAGGCGAACATCGTCCTGCCTGCGGAAGCAGTGTCCCAGCCAAGGCAGCCTGAGTAGCCAGCAGAAGTGGCCAGCTGGCTGGCTGGCAGGTGTGTTCTGGTTATAGAACTGGATATATCATGCTATTAGAGCTGGGTGCCATTAAAAATTCTAATCATAGACTGTAATTAACTTTCCTTGCTCTGACACCCGCTCGCTAAGCAACCTTCTGATTATAATTTGGCTTCCCATGTATCTTGCCTACAGGGAGAGAATGTACTGTTCAGGCTGACGTGAGGATCCAATCCACTCCACAGTTACATGCTATGATGTAAATTAATGAATTTGTATTCCGATGTTATCATCTGTCTCATCTGAGCTCTATAGGCGTGAGTCAGCATCCCCGAGTCTAATCAACACGGACACCGAGAACATCGAGCTTCGGAGCTGAAAAGCTAAGAACTAGACCCAGGAAATGAGTGAAACCACCAAGGTAACAGTGCCCCGGAGGCCCCTCGGCCTGATGAAGAAGGCCTTCCTACATGTCATGCGATACGAACAGGGATTAAAATGGACTTTTGACATTCTAAAGAGCTGCATATTCAAAACCATGGCTTGGTTCCATTCAGGTGAAGGCGAGGAATAGGAGACAATCGTAAGACGCGTATTGAATATTTATTGGCTTATGAACACACACCAGATGCTGCACAAATCCTAGGCAGAAGGTTCAGATTTACAGGCATGTTTGAAAAACGCAAAAAACAAAAACATGAAAGACCAAAAAAAAAAAGGACAGATGGTACGTGCTGAGGAGAAATGCAACGAGAGGCATCTAAGATGAATTCTTGCTCCACGTAGGTACTGACGATCCAGGATGTAAAAGAGACAACAATGACTTTAGAGAGAGGGAGAGGAGACGGAAACACAGGGTATGCTAGAGCAGGGGCAGGAATGTGCCAAGCAGTGAGATTGTCCAGGCCAGAGGATGATTTAGGGCCTACAGGGTGAGGGCAAGATCTTTGAAGTGAGTTCAAAAGGCAAAGTGGAGGAGAGCCCCTCAGGACAGATGGGGATAATTTAGCAATCCGGCAGTTTAGATCACCCCTTCCTCCGAGGTCCCTAGGTCACCTATGGTGACCCAGAGCCCCCTCTGGGATTGCAGCTACACAGAATAAGAAAGGGAAGAAAGTGAGAACTGTAGTATCAGCAAATTCTTAAGCCTAGCAGTAGGAAGTGATCCTTTACTTTGTATTCGGACAAAAAAAGGGGATGTGGGAATGAAGGCAGGAAGGCTTCTACTGAAGATCATGCTGGAGTGTGTGTGTGTGTGTGTGTGTGTGTGTGTTTTGTTTTATCTTGTTTCCTTTTCTTATTTATTGTGGTTGTTATATCGACAGGGTCTCTTACTGTGATTCTCCTGTCTCAGGCTCCCAAATAGCTGATACTACCGGGATATGCCACAGTGCCTGGCTTTTAGGGTAGGCAAAGAATTGAACCTGGGTCTCCCACGGGGACTTAGCCTCCTGAGCAACGGGGTCCAGTACATGCCACCGTGACTGGGCCCCCTACAGGATTCGTTGCTCAAAGAAAAATAGGTTTTAGAGTGAGAAAGTTACCAAAGGTTCTGGAACATCATTGAGAGCCACCTGGAAGCCCCCATTGTCTTTGCTAGTGTCCCCACATAGGGGCTGATGAGAGGAAGGTTATCAGCTTTACTAGACACAAGTGAGGCTAGAGGACTGTCTCTAGTGACCTTTTGCCCTAAAGATGAGGTAGAGACATGCTGCCCACGCAGGGGTGGTCCCAAGTGCAAGTGAGCAGCCAGCACTATGGAAGGAGAGACACCCAGAAGGCTAAAGGCCGGACAAAACAGCAGGCCCCGCCCGGACATGCAGACCCCAGGACGGGGCTGGAGAGGGCTGGCCTATGCTCTATGCAAACCCAGTGGGCTCTGATGCATGCAGGAGTGTGCTCCTGTTATGGCAACCTCAGTGTGTGCGTACGTGCATACAAATAAATGCACACAGACTGGGGCTCCTCGCCTAGTAGAGATTGTCCCGCACGTGCTCCATGATGACCTTCAGTCCCAGCCAGGTCTCCTCTGCAGTGGGGATGATCTGCTTGGCTGGTAGGAGGAAGCCAAAGTGCCCTGTGTCTCTCAGCTCAAATGTGAAGGCGTACTTGATGCCATTATCATATGCCCAGTCAACGCTGCTCCCGCTAGCTGGATCTGCGAGTCAGAAGAAAAAACACCATTAGGACAAAAGAACAGTTAGACAGTCCCCTAGCCTTCCATTCAGGGTTAGATGGGAAGGGACCAAGGGCTCCGCGTGCCTGGTGTCCCTTAGGCATCTAGAGTTCTTTATACAAGTCTCAGGCCTATGGCACAAGAAATTTGAAATCCTCACTTCCGCCTTGTCACTAAGTCACTATGTTCAACCCAACACATCACTTGAAACCCACCTTTTTTTTTTTTCAAAGAATTATTTTATTTATTGTTATTATTATATTTTTTTAATTTGCTATAGAACACATTCATCAGAGAGAGACAGAGAGAGGGAAAGCGAGATAGTAGGCCACCAGGTCCAGGACTTGAACCGAGGTTGGTTATGAAGGAGTCCAGTGTCTCAACTAACACACTACTTGCTGGCCCGAAATTCATCTTTAAAGAAACAAAGTATCTGGGGATCAGCAGATGACATGGTGGCTAAGGTGCTAGACACTGCCACATGGCCAACCATGGTTTGAGTCCTGGACCTGGTGGTGACTTGCTTTCTCACTTTCTCTCTCTCTCTCTGTGTTTGTGTGTGTATGTGTGTGTGTGTGTCTGGTCAAATTAAAACATAAATGAATGAATAAATAAATAAATAAATAAATAAAATAATTTTTTTTAAAAAAAAGAGAAAGAAAGTCTCTTGGCAATGTCCAAGATAGTGCCAGTGATCCTTGTGTCCTGGAAGCCACATCCTGTGGACCTGCTCCGCTGCACTGAATAGGGCTGACCTCCCCCGTGTAACCAACAGGACATTGCAGAAACATGGGCAGCTGTGTGGCCATCAATACAAGGTCACGAAAAATACTGGGGCTTCTTCCTTGCCTTGTCTTCACCACCCACTCTGAGAAAAGCCAGTTGCCATGGTGTAAGGACGCTCAAGCAGTTCTATAAAGAGGCCCATGTGAGGCCAACAGCTGACAGGGAGGTGAAGACCCTGGATCCCACATGGCCCACTGTGCAGTTTGAGTCACAGACCCAATAGCTTGAAAATCACAATAGGTGGGGGCCAGCATGTGGTGTGGTGGTTAAGGTGCTGGACTTGCATGTGGTCAACCATGGTTTGAGTCCTGGACCCAGTGGCTTAAAATTCACAGCAGGCATGTGTGTGCATGTGTCCAAAATCCTAAGAGAAGAATGAAGGAGAAGGGATTGTGGTGTGGCCATCCCCCTGGTGAGGGGGATTAATTTCTTGCTTTCTGTCTCTCACATGTGTGTGTGCCCAAAATCCCCAGAAGAGGAATTGCAGTGCTTTCTTATTTTCCCTATCTCCCTATCTTTCCAACATGCCCTATGGCAGGGGAAAAAAAGAAAAGAAAAGAAAAAAGGAAAAAATAAAGTCCATGTGATGACCTGAGACCTGCCACTAATCAGCACTAACTTCCAAACACCTGACTGAGCCAGCGCAGAAGCAGAGCCTCCAGTCCAGTCAAGCCTTCAGTTGACTATCGCCTTAGAAGACATCTTGATGCAACTTCATGAGACACCCTAAGCCAGAATCATCCAGCCGAGTCACTCATATCCCTGACTTTCAGAAATAGTATAAGAGAATAAATGCTTATTTTTTTAAAAAGAATTCCATGGTTGGCCACGTGGTAGTGTCCAGTGCCTTAACCACCACGCCACCTGATGGTCCCCGAAAATAAATGCTTATTGTTTTAGGCTGGTAAATTTATACACACACACACACACACACACACACACACACACACACAGCAGGAAATAACCCAGATAGAAGGAAGCACAAGCCTTGGGATCTCCCTTGCCAAAAATCTTAAGAAAGGCAAGTGATCTATTTTTCTCCATTTTCCCCAAACTCTACCAGAGAAGAAAATGACTAAAAATGCAAAGTGTAAGTGATATTAACTTACTTAAGACTCAAGAAGAAGGCAAAAGGCTTCGTCTAAGTTTCAAGGTGATCACATTCATGGAATGGAGTTCATTTTATTTGGATCCCTGCTCAAAATCTACCTTCACTTTAAAATAAAACAAAACAAAACAAAACAAAGCAAGGGGACCAGCAGGTGATGTGGTGGTTAAGGTACTGAACTCCCACATGGCCAACCACAGTTTGAGTCCGGACCTGGTGGCTTGCTTTCTCACTTTCCCTCTCTATCTCTCTGTCTCTCTCTGGTCAAATTTAAATAATCATAATAATAATAAATAAAATTTAGGGGCCAGCAGTTGGCATAATGGCTATGTTGCTGGACTTCCATGTAGTTGGGTGCAGTTTGAGTCCCAGACCTGGTGGCTTAAACTCACACTGGGCTCATATGCATGCGTGCCTGAGATCCCGAGAGGAGAATGGAGGAGAAGGGATTGCAGTGTGGCCAACCCCCCTGGGGAAGTGATTTCTTGCTTTCTGTCTCTCTGTCTCTCTCTGTCTTTCTGGCGAACGCATACGCCCTATAGCAAAAGCCTCTCCAAAAAATAAACAAATAAATAAAATTTAATCAACAATTCTTTTGAAAAAATCAAACAAATGGGAACACACTCTGACACTGTTCTGCTCTCTGCATTCTTCAATGAACAATAGAAGATTATTCTCTGTTAGGACATATGGGCCCACTTCATTCATTCAAGGGCTGCATATTTCACTATATGGATGCAGCAAATGTAAACTTACCCAGTACCTTCCTTTCAGATGTTTTTCAGTTTTCTTCCATTTTTTCAATTTTTCAATAGGCATCCTTAATATTTTTGATGTACCCATGAGTCAAATAAGCCAGAGAATTTGTTTCTAAGCCCTTAGTAGGTCAGAATCAGTGAAGAGGAGAGAAAAGGTAAATAGAAGCAGTTGGTCTAAATGTACTACAAGCTACCGCTGACAGTCTGACAGGAGAAAGGAGACTTAACAACTAAAAAGCAGACACAAGAATTTAAAAGCAAAATAGGTTGGAGCTATTTAGCAGTGGGACTGCACAGTCCAATATGAGGCAGTAGGTCTTCAGGATATATCAATAACTGACGTTCAGAAACTACTCAGTCATGAAGAAAGAGGCTTCAAGAGCCTGTAGAAAACATGCTCTGTTTAATATACAGGTAAATGTGAGATCCACTTGAGAATTATTATCTTCTAATATGGTTAATCTAAGAAAAAATCCAACACTTGAAGGGACAAAGGACAACTATTTATGTAACATATCCCACAACCCAGGGCGATACATACAGTGTTATCAGATAAAAATTATTGCTTTTCGGGAAAACAACAATGGCAGCAAGCCCTATCAAGAATACAGAGGACTGGCCAGCAGTGGTTAAGTGAGCCACATCCCAAATGGGTGACCACAGTCTGAATCCTGACCCCGGCCATGTGTGTGCATACCCATCTCCAACAGGATGGAGAAACGGAGGGGAAGGGACTCCTCCATGACCACACTTTACTGGGTGGAGATGCTTTCTCTCTCTCTTGCTGTGTCTCTCTGTCTCTCTCTGGTAAGCACAAGTGCCCCTGGTGATTAAAAAAAATAGAGAGAAAGAGAGAAGATGGACTCTTGTAAGAGGTAGCACACATTCTGTCTCCTGAACAGCTCTCAGAAGAGCCTTCCTAATGAATACCTCTTGGTTTGTGGGTGTGTGGGTGTGTGTTTAAAGTTTATTTCTTCCTTAAGAGACAGCCCCCACGAGGGTCTTCATGCCACAATCTACCCCCAGCCTCAGGTGGCCCCAGATCTCAGGCACACACACACATCAGGCAGGTGCAGGAAGGCCTCTGCACCCAAACCTGGGATGTTTCCATGTGGCTCTGACATGGCAGAGAGCTGCCTTACCACTGCTCCATTAGCCGGCCCCAGGAAATCTCAGTCTGGGCACAGCTTCAAGGAGAAAGTGTTTAATGTGAGAAGAGAAAGCCATTACTCAAACTGGTATTTGACCCAAAAGCCCAGGACTCTGGTAAGCCACAAAGATCTTTGGAAAGGGCCTCCTAAAAGGGCTTCTACCAAATCTTCGTTAACATTCTTTAGTCCCTGACTCAGTTCTGACTAATTAAGCAGAGGGTGGAGAAACTACTGATGTGTCTCTAAAGGGTTCCCATTTAATGACACTAATAACAATAAGCCATGAATAATTAATGGATTGTTGCTGCAGTGAGCAGCACGAACACCAGCATCATGCTCACTGCTTTATGCAGCTCACTGGCAAATAAAGCAGAGACCAGACAGTTGAGGTCAGAGTCCGGAGGAGAGCCAAGGGGGTGAGATGGAGAGTCTTCTCAGAAAAGGAGGTCTGAGAGAATCAGGCAGTATGGGAGAGTGAGTCACAGTACTAAAGAGGAAAGATACTAGTGAGTGTGCAGGGGCCCTGAGGGTGGACCAACTGTTAAGAACACTGTTTATGGATGAGATACAACAAGGAATAAAAGATACTACAATCTTTCAAGGAATCAAAACTATGCTTCCCATGTATATATTTAATTTCTCATTTAGAGTTGGGGTCTTGGAGTATGTTATCTTTTCCAACAGAAACATTTCAAGACAGACTCATGGACCAAGAGAACTGGTAGGATCAGCAGG